CCCCAAAACCCCAAAACCCCAAAACCCCAAAACCCCTAAATTAAAAAAGATCTTGAAACTTTCATTGTTAAAAATTAAATAAATGGATAATTTTGACAAAAAAGTTCAAATTCTGCGCGTCACTGAAGCTAATGTCACTAAACACAGGCGGTGTAAAGCCCCTAACAATAGGAGAAGGTAACTGAGGGATTCTAATCACTGGATTGGCAATTTTTCTAGAGAATTTTTCGAGTTCAGATTGGTCTGCTTCTTTTCATGTTTGGCTCTATTTCACACAAACTGTATAGGCTGGCCTTTGATAATCAAATGTTTAAGAACTGGTACGGTCAAGTTAATTTGTTGTAGGAAAGGCAGGAAGATATACAATCGAAAGGAGAAAATCACTACTGATCCAATCAAAGCCTGGAAAGCCACTGTGAAGACCTTTATTCGGAAATAACTCTTTGGCAGAGTACCTTGGTATTTTTCAGTTAACCTTGCTCTAGACGATTATGATTCCGATCCTCAGGACTCGCTTAAGGAGAAAATGGGTAAGCCTGGCTACTATTTTGCACATATTTTGGGAAGTAACCTGAGTTTCTAGAGATCTACTACAAAGATTCCCAAAATTACGCTAACAAGTTAAGGTAATGCCCAATGCTAACTTCAGGCAACTTTTCAAGGACAAGCCCATTATCACGAAGGATAAATGGATGTCTTTTGATCTAACTGATCAGCAAAGGTGAGTTATCCACAAATTATTATAATCTGTTAAAATTCCTTCCATTCCCAAATCGTGACAATTGTTGGTTTACTAGTGTAAATCGGTATTTAGCAGGACAATGGACAAACAAAATGCAAATAAGATGTAACCCCTTGTCTTAATTTAGCAAGTTGGAAGAAGATATCAGATTTTGTATTTTATAAGGTAACATTAGGGTCCTCATCACTTCTAGCCTAAGAAGAGTGAAATTTTGCAAGCTCTCAGCAAGAAGAAACCTAATAAATCAGGGAAGCCAAGGAGGAATCAGTATGCTAAGAGGTTAGTACTTGCAGATAGTTTAACGAATCTGAGAAGTTTTGAGGAAGTAGCAATGAAAACTTTAGTTTGATGGATTATTTCGCTTTAAAAGGCCTCTCCTTAAAATCTTTAGTATCAATTTTACTCTTTTCGTGATAAATGCTCTTGAAAGTCGAATTCAAGCAGAAGATTACCTTCAAACAATCAAATTTTGTAGCAAATCTTAGCTTTTAAGGAGATTTAGTAAGCTGCTTGGTTAATCAGTATATTTCTGAATTATTCTCAGAAACCGAGCCTATTTAAAGTACTTTACTTTCTTTCGACTTAAAAAAACAAATTGGGGGAGGTATGAAATGTATTATCAACAGACTTTCTATAAACGAGCTTACCTTAATTACGAATATACTTGCATGTTTTAGCTCAAAGCTATGCTGCACTCTTCAATTTGCTACCTTCACACTAAACACAGGTCTCTGAAATCCAAGGGAGATGAAAGAGGTATCGGCTAGGTTTAGATTTTAGGTGTTAAAACTTCAAAGAATATTACCGAGCCAGCTTGATGAACGAAGTAACTAACCAAGTGTCATACATTGTAGCCTCAAGAGCCCAGATTTCCTCTGTAGCCTGCCTGAGCCAGGCTCAGTGAATCAGGCTGTACCGATCAGTCCTTGCCAAGCCAAGCCTGCAGCTGCTGTACGTAGCAGGATTATTTTTTGTCTTGCTTAGCTGCCAGATTTGTACTGTGTGCGAGTCTTTTAGGAGTCATAGGCATTTTTAGAAGAAATAGGGGTGCTTTTGAGTGACAACAGTTAGTAGTTGACACTAAGAATTTGTGAAGAAGATTTAGATAGCGGTATTTTGAGACCAAGACTCTCTAAATAAGAATTTTTACTCGTGGTATTATGGTTTGGACACATTTTTGTTTGGTATCTTAACAATGTGTATTTATCTCAAAATTATAGAGGAAATGATTAATCATTAGGAAGTTGACTGACTACCTCAAAGAGCAAGATGTTATTCATACTAGGTAAGACCCATTACAGATTCCAAGGAAGTTATTTTGATTTTATAGGCCAAAAAGAAAAAGAAATACCACAAATAATGCTTATAAATACATCAGACAAAGTCTTAAGCCGAGGTAAGTGTCACTAAGTATATACTCTAAAGTTGTAATAACAGCTGCTCTTAATCCTGATTTTTAGCAAGAAATTCCAGCCCCTGCTTTCCAGAAACAATAGCATTAGCTTTGCTGATGAAACAGAGGTAGGATTCTATGGGGAGGTTTAGACATCTATGGCATCAAGCACTCCAGCTCAAATAATTTCCGGAGCAGATCGGTTAAGACAAGTAAGTTATTTCCTAAATGCTTTGGACCTTTACTTGCTATAGAGTCTTGAATTCTTAAAGCAAAATGTCATTTCCAGCACATCCCCGGTCAATAGCCCTGATCCTTGTATTAAAAGTAAATGTTTCATAATTTCTAGAGAGGACTAGTCTTGATGGGACAGGAAAGACAACTCAAGTTGGCAGAGATAGGGAATTTTCAGACTACTCAAACCCATTGTACAAGTCAAAGAGGTATAAAAAGGCATGGATGAATGAGTCTTTCAGCTTGTAAGGCCAAGTTTTAACCCCTAGAACACTTTCTTGTCAACCGGATCTCCCATCAGGGATCAGAAGTACATGCCAATAACAATTTAATATCTTTAAGTAAGGGGTTTTGGGGTTTTGGGGTTTTGGGG